CCTGTTATACTTTTACGATCTGGTGAGCATCAGCATCACAAAATCCTTCCAATTGTAATGGTTTTTCTGATTGTCGAAATACTAGGCACCAACTCTTAGTTCCCTTTAGATAACGTAATACTTGCTTAGCTCTTGTTAAATGCACAGTCCCCGGTTTATTTAAGTTTTGGGACAACTTAGTAACCGTATAGCAGATATCTGGCCTGGTTGATGTCATGACGTAAATAAGACTTCCAACCAATGTTCTGTATTCTTCCTCACACGCCGCATGATAGTCAACCCAAGTCGGTCATTTTAAACCTTATATTTAGGGAATTTTTGATTTTTAATAGAGCGGTTTCACGTTTTGATGCAACATATCGTCGACCCAAATAACCAGAATTACTAATATTTCATTATTAAATGTTCTTGTGTACAGGCATGGGTCAACTTGGGAGGATTCAAATTGTTAAATTAAATAGGAATGGATTAATTTATTCCATGTTCTTCCGCTCTGTTTGAGTCCATATAGTGACTTTTTGAGTTTCCTTACATAATTATCACCTTTTTCAAAACCTTCTGGCAGTTCTATGTATATTTCATAGTCAATCGCAGCATTCAGGTAAGCCGCTTTAACATCCATATGGTGTATATCCATATCATAATGTGCGGCCATTTGCATCAAAATTCTAATTGTTGTCATGTTTGTTGTTGGACTGAATATTTCTACATAATCTTCCCCGTATATCTGTGAAAATCCTTTAGCTACAAAACGAGCCTTATAGACTGGCGATCCATCCTCAGTTCGCTTTACAGTATAAACCCAACGTTTTTATCATCCGGGGCCTTTTTCAATTAAAAAATGTCATTTGATACTAAAGATTCAATTTCTTTTTGCATGGCGGCTATCCAACGTTTGGAATTGTCAGAATTTATGGCTTCTTGATAGTTCTTTGGGATACATTGTACCGAATAGCAACAGTCAATGTCACAGATATTACATTGGCCCATTCTAAAATAGTCTGGCTTTCTTCTATTTCTGGTCGGATAACGTGGAATTTGTCCCCTCTCATCGGTTGTATTTTCTTTTAACTCAAGTTTTGCGTCTGATTTTTCCTCGTCTACATCATCTGGTATAACACCTTCCTCTGATTGTGGATTTTGAACGGGTTTTCTACTTATAGGCCCTATCCCATAATTAGTCCATACTAGTTCGTGTTGGACCAGCTCCTGCCAGTTAATTTTCTTTTCTTTGGGTTCCTCCCCTGGCTCAAAGGAATCTGTAAATCTGACACATCTGATCTTCCTTATTATTTTACTTTGTGGGAAATAAATCATATAGGCTGGACTTGTCTTGTCATACCCAATAAATATGCCCTTTTCAGTTTTTTTGGATCTAGTTTTGCCCTGTGGTTGACATATGTGTAGCAAATTGTACCAAAAATATGCATACCACTTACATTAGGTTTGTAGTTCATATAAGCTTTGCAAGGAGTCTTTTTAATGTTACTATTATAGCAACGGTTTCTTATATATACGGCTGTATTTAATGCATAAATCCACAGATTTTTGGGTAACTTAGATTCTATTAGCAAACATCTAGCCATTTCGAAAAGCGTCCGCCAACTACATTCAGCGACTCCGTTCTGGTGTGGTGAATAAGAACAAGTTTTCTCATGTTTAATGCGTTCATTTATTAGGTTTTCGTAAGCATCAGAAGTAAATTCTCCACTATTATCTGTCCTAATTATTTTTACTTTTCCATACGGGAAGATATCGGATAAATAGATTTTTGTAGCTTGCAGGGTATCAGATTTGTTTTTGAGAAAATATATCATAATAAGTCCTGAATATTCGTCAACAAAGTTTAATACATATGAATAGGTGTCGATACCCATTGATGAAATTTGACCCGCTCAGTCGCAATAAACTCTGAACAAGATATCTGTTGATTTGGGGATCTGACCCCTATTTCTATATTACGTCATTTTCCCTTTAATACACGTGTCACAATATTGTAAGCTTTTTGGAAATGTAATTTTCATTCCAGTGACGTGTTCTTGTAATCTTTTAACATCCGAATTATTACAGTGGCCTAATATTTTATGCCAAGTCCTTAAGTCGTGCGTGGCTGTCTTCACAGACTTAATACTTTTCAAATAATACAAATGTCCATTTTGTTGTATATTAAATTCAGTTCCGTCTGGATATATTAACTTTGAATTGTTGCGGTGAAAATTAACTTTAACACCAGTTCTAACAGCAGACTGAACTGAAAAAAATATTTTGTTTAAATTTAGGAATATAGGAAGCCCTTTTTAATAAACATTTACAAGTATTTCCTTTAGTATCTTGTAAATAAATACAGGCATCGCCTCTTTTTAAAACTCAATTATCAGCTCTGGTCCCGTCAGCTAACTTGATAAAATGTAAATCAGGCTCAAAATTGGGTCAAAATTAATAAATTTTGTTTCATCTGTAATTACATGATTTGTCGCACCCATATCAGCTAGGTAAGAATTATAACTATTGGCTACAGTATCCAATCCAAATGAAAAGGCATATGTTCGCCCATTTGAAAAAGTTTTTACAAAAATCATTCCTTGTATAAAATTGACATTTTGCACATACATGGCCAGCTTTACCACAACGAAAACAAACAATATTTCTTTTTGTATTATTACTGTTGTTGTTGTTGTTGTTGTTGTAATAATTGTTTTTAAATCCCTTGTTTTTAATATCATAATTCCTAGTCTGATAGGTTTGAGGGACTGGTTTTCTAAATTTTTTTTAATGATGTTCTCAGTTGCATTTTGATTTTGGAGGGTACACATTTTTTCAGTTTCTTCATAACTACATAACTCAATTTTAAACTCAGTGAAAGTTAACTTTTTATCTTTTTGAGTTATAACTGTTGTGAATGGTTTGAATGTCGGTAGTAATCCCTTTAAAACCATGGCTATTAGCAGCCCATCTGAGATAGTCTCACCCGCAATTTTTAAGGCATTTGTGACATTCTCAGCTCGTATAATATAATCTGTTACAGATTCATTTTCTCGTCTCTTTAACGCGGTTAGTTCAGTATATAAAGCAATAATCTTAGGCTTACCTTTTGACAAGTAGTGTTCTCGCAAAATTGGTAGAGCTTGTTGTCCATTGTCCTTGGCTTCTCTCACTATCAAAGACAAACTCCTGTCATCCAGGAATTGTATTAATTTGGCGAACATGGTCGCATTTCTTGTCATCTTGGCAAAGAATGATGTCATGAAGTTTTTGTATTCTAAGGTAGCCTAAGAATTTGGTTTCCCATAATTCAAACTTGGTTTCGTCTACATTAAAATACAATCATAACCTAGGCTCGTAACCATTGTTGACCATGTTTGCCGCAGTCTCTGAATATGGAATTCAGTGAAGTCCGTAATCTGTTCAATATCAGAGGTCGGCAGTGAAGATTAAGAGAAAATAGCAGTTGTTAAGTAATTCTTTAAGTCTTCAATATCAGGTTGGCAGTGCAGACTATTTGGGAGAAAAAAAAAATGGCTGCCTTTATACTCGTCGCATTGAATATTTTGAGCTGGTACATACATATACACAAAAAACTGCAACAATAAGGCAGTGCTGTTTTTGACCCTAAATGGAATTCTACTGAACTGAAACGAACGACCATTCACCTAAAAAGCAACACTTTCTCTTTCTTCTCCTTCCAAGGACTTACATATATTGTTGTTGTTTTTAATGTTTCTGCATTCTGTAAAATTTTGCCATAATTATTCAGAACTTGTATCCTTCATTACCGACTGTGCTTCCACAACCATCTGAAGGTATTCTAGGTATTCCTAGCATTGAGATACATCAACATATGCTACAACTCAATTACCTGGACTGAATATGTTTGCAAAATGAGGGTAACACCAACTTTTGGAAGAAAGAAGGTAAGAAAGCCTTTTCTAAGAAAGTGTGCTTTTACTCCAGGTTGAGTGTTCCTTTTATCACAAGTGTTGGCATGCTCTAAAAGTCCTCTCATGGGCTATGGAAGGCCTCTCCAACACCCGATTATTGTCTCAGAAGATGTTATATTATGTGTCAGTTAAGAGAAGCCTGTTCATTATGATTAGATGAATGAATTCAGTTTGATGAGACAAGAGCATTGCTCTTTGTGACCTTGGGTGCCCAGGTTGAGGTGTCTCAATAATGATGAGTATTGGCTGGTATTTAGGTCAGTAAAAGTCTTGATACAGCAGGGATGGCAGTTGTGTCAGAATACGTGTGATTTGGTCTTCTTTCACAGTAGTGTCATATGCTCATTGTGCAAGGTTATTGAAGGCTATATGGTCCGCATGATTGGCAGAAACTTTTTTGTCTGAGGCCAGTTATGTTTGCAGCAATGTTGTACTGCAATTGAACAAGAATGTGCTTATTCAGCATCATGAGGTTCATGATTTGGCAGACACAACACAAAGAATTTCATAGAGTACCTCAACTGATTTGTTCTTTAAGCATTAGCTGAAAGTCAAAATCAGGATAGGAAAAAAGCAGCTCATCAAAATTCCAGAGAAGGTGGGTGACTGTTTCACAGTTTGTTTGCTTGAATGGTGCTATGTTAGACTGGCAGTTTGAGGTAGGAGAGGAAAGAGGAGTTTGGTTCTCTGACTGTGTATGTGTTAGCCCAGCCCTGACATATGTTGAAAGTTGGTAGGTACATTATCAGAAATGTAATGAAAAAAATATGTGGTTCGAAGGAAAGTTCTTGTAGTTTCTAAATAAAGCACATTTACTTAGAATCACAGGAACATTCCTTCCAACCAGATACACATTAAGATAAAGAAATTTTTACATTTTAACCAAAAAGTACAAATATTAAAATACATATCTAATGTGAAATAAAAATATACATTTATAAATTGGAAGTTTAGCTATTACGGTCCTGGTTATCTTTGTCAATTTTGTTTCCAAAGTTCTTTTTCTTGAAATAAGAGGAATAGAGAACTATAGGATTTTAAATCTGTTTTAGTAGTACTTAC